TATAACTCGGATTCGGGCGTATAATATATCGTTGGAAAGCTCTTTTCAATCACCATCTAAATATTCAATCATTGGACCCAGGTTATGGACCAAAATTAACTTGATTAAACGTTTTATAAAAAGGGCACGAAATGAATGATTTTAAAGGACACGAAATGAAATATTTTGGGTTTAAAGGCACGAAAAGAGGAAAATAAGTTATGGTTTGGGGGAATCGGCTAGGAGTTGGGTTGGTTTATGAAATGGAAATATGGATTTAAGCACTCCAAGATTAAATACTCAACCCGACCAATAATAGCGGTGAAAGGTTGTTCATCATCGGGTTTGGTTTTGGGGAGATATTTTTAGGTGTCTACAAGGACCATTTGATTATTCGTGGGTTTATGCCAGACTACAATATTTGGTATGGAATGGTGAAAAATTTCTTCCCATGGATAATTCTTCTTCTATTAACGGCAATGGCAATGAAGCTTATGAATTTGAGCCAAATGGTTTTGAGGATAATGAAGTGGGTTCTAATGATGACATGGAGGAAGACATGATAGATGAGATGATAGACGGGTTAGGCGATCATGTTAATGAAGATTCTCATATATATGAGAATGTGTCGAAAGCAGCTAAGACACCGTTGTATCCTAGTTGATCGAAGTATTCCAAGCTTTCTGGGATTCTAACATAGTACAACTTAAAAGCGAAGAGCGGGTAGAGCAACACTAGTTTCACTTTGTTGTTGGAAACCCTCTCTGATATGTTTCCAGAAGGAAATGACATTCCTAAGTCGACTTACTATACGAAGAAATTGATGTGTCCATTGGGTTTAGAGTACTTCAAGATTCATGCTTGTCCTAATGATTGTGTACTATATCGAAAGGAGAACGCAAAATTGGATGCTTGCCCAAAGTGTGGTGTGTTACGATACAAGCGAGAGGGCTCAAATAAGGATTGCTTGAAGTGGCCACCAGCTAAGGCTCAAATAACAAGGTTGAAGCGCTTGTTCTCAATTAAGGATGAAGTGAAAAAATTGGTGTGGCATGAAAATGAGAGGAAGAAAGATGGGTTGATTAGACACCCGGCTGATTCGTTGCAAAGGAAAAACATTGACAAGATATTTCCCGAATTCGGGAAGGAGCCGAGGAACATAAGACTGGCATTAAGTACGGATGGGATGAATCCATTTAGCACTCTTAGTAGTCAAAATAGTACATGGCCCGTTCTTCTATCAATATACAACCTACCTCCTCGGTTGTGCATGAAGCGCAAGTACATCATGTTATCACTCCAGGTCCTAAACAACCTGGCCATGAGATAGATGTAAATTAGGAGCCCCTTATTAACAATTTGAAACTGTTGTGGGATGAAGGTGTTGTGACATTTGATGCTCTTTCGGGTAAAAATTTTCGATTAAGAGCCATGGTGTTTTGTACCATAAATGATTTCCCTACGTATGGAAATTTGTCAAGGTACAAAGTCAAAGGAGAAAAACCATGCTCTATTTGTGTGGATGACATGGAAATTACACGCTTAAAGCATTGTGGAAAGAACGTGTATATGCATACTAGACGATCACTTCGTCCAAATCACCCATACCGGAAGATGAGACAACAATTCAACGGGCACGTTGAGAATGGAGTGAGTCATGAGCCATTGACAGGAATTGAAGTGTATGAGAAAATTAAAAATGTTAAGACAATCTTCAGTAAGATGCACAGAGAAAATCGAAGAAGGGTGTGTTGTGGAAAAAAGTGTCTAAGTTGTGGGATCTGCCTTATTGGAAGCACTTGTCGGTTTGACATTGTCTTGATGTTATACATATTGAAAAAAAACGTTTGCGAGGCACTAATTGGGACTTTGTTGAATATCAAAGGGGAGACAAAGGATGGTGATAATGTGCGTAGAGACATGAAGAAAGCCAAAATTCGACCTAAGTTATGGCCTGAGGATAATAAAGCAACGAAAAAAGCATTTTTACCCCATGCGTGTTATAAATTGTCTAGTGAAGAAAAAAGGATTTTTTGTGAATGTTTGAAAGGAACAAGGTGGCGACAGGGTATTCATCAAACATAGGAGGTTTTGTTTCTACTACTGATAAGAAAGTTGTTGGTATGAAGTCCCATGACTGTCATGTGATGATGCAAGTGTTTATGCCAATTGCACTCCGAGGCCTTTTGCCAAAACATGTTAGGCATGCTGTTGTGAAGCTTTGCTTTTTTTTTCAATGCAATTTGCAGTAAGGTGATAGATCTAAAAAAACTTGACGATATGGAATATGATATTGTTGAAACATTATGCAAATTCGAGATGTATTTTCCTCCTTCTTTTTTTTGACATAGTGGTTTACCTTGTTATGCACTTGCCTTGTGAGATAAAGGTGTGTGGTCCTGTATTTATGCGTTGCATGTACCCTTGTGAGAGGAAAATGGGTACTTTGGCGGATAAGGCAAAAAACAGAGCAAATCCCGAAGGGAGCATCGTTAAAGGAACCATAGCCAAGGAAGCAGGGAACTATTGTTCAGTGTTTTTAGCTAAGGCTAAGGAAATTAGGATTCCAACTTTTCGTCACGAGGGAAGACTTCAAGGGAAGGGTACAGTAGGTCGGAAATTGGTTAAGCCTCCACTTGATCGATATAAGAAAGCCCACCGATTTGTGCTTCAAAACCTATCTGCAGTTCAACCATACATTGAAAAACACCTAAATGAGTTGAAATTCACAATCCCAAGATCAGCTCCTATGCGTTGATGCAGGAGAATAATCGCCACTTTGTTGAGTGGTTTGAAGGCCAAGTGAAGCTTAAATTGAGTACAAATGAGAATGTTTCAGAAACGATCAAGTGGCTTTCACGAGGTTCACAACCACTTGTTTATACTTATGAGGGTTACGATATCAATGGATTTACTTTTGCCACTTGTCGTCAGGATGAAAAAAGTGTGCAACAAAATAATGTTGTTGTCGTGGTTGCATCTTCTACTGAATACTCAAGCTCTAGGGATACAAGGCCAGTTGAAGCTACACAGGCATATTACGGTGTCATTCAAGAAATTTTGGAGTTGGGTTATGTTGATTTTACAATTCCTTTATTTCGTTGCACATGGGCTCATAACCGTCGTGGTATGAAAACCGATGAGTTATTTGGATTCACCTTGGTTGACTCTAGTCGATACATTGATGGTGAAGAGCCTTTTATATTAGCCTCACAAGCGAAACAAGTATTCTACATCAAGGATAATATAGATCCGCAATGGCGTGTTATAGTTGAAGGCAAGAGAAAAAATGTGGGTGTGGAAGATGTTGTGGACGAAGAAGAGTATGACCAATTTGATGACATCCCGCCTTTGACAATGGGAATGCAACCTCTACAAGAAGGGGAAGATATTGTTGATGATGAAGAGTATGATCGTGAGGATGGGGAAGTGGTTCCTATATCTACAGTCGAGGTTTGTGTTATTTTATTCCTTTATAATATACTTGTATTTTTGGCTATAAATATTGAATTTATTAAATTGGTATATATTTAAATCATTAGTTGCTTTATTGTATAGTATTTACATTAATATGATTTTAATGTTATGATTTTGATTCCAGTTCTTATTAATTTCATTCTTTGTGTAGGTGTAGACTACTACAATGGAAGAAAATATAGGTGATCGTGATGGACAGGAACAATCTGGTGACATGGATGTCTCCACTTCCCAAGGAAAGTCATCTACAAGTAAGGGACGAGGCCCATCTGAAGCAGTCCAATAAACTACACCCATGTTCCTCGAATTTAATGAGTTTGACATGCCTACGGGAAAGTGGGAAGCTGCTTATGGGAAGCAAATTGGTAATTGTGCTCAAAGAGTTAACATTAATGTGAAGGGATATCCGAATTATGTTAAAGTTCAAAAGCAAAACTTGTGGGAGGAGAGTAAGGTAATTAAGATATAAATATGGTTAGTGCTCTAAATTTAATGATACTTATAATTAATTCTGAATATTAACAAACTCTAATTTTGTAGCGGAAGTTCCACATTGATGATCCCAAGGGTATTAAAGAGAAGAAGTTCCACGAAGCTGTGAGAGGGCTCGAGTTATGAGAGTTATGAGAGGGCTCGAGTTGATTGGAGTAAGACCAACAGAATTCCAGCAGAATCTTCAACCTCAAGCAGTACAAATTCCACGACAAGCAGTGTAATGAGTGAAAAGCTTAAAAACCGGTCTCTGAGGTGGATTTTGGCCCGTCAAACTCGTCGTGCAGATGGGTCGTGGGCTGTAGACCCGAAGAATGCCGAAACCCAGCAAATAGCCAGTACTATTGTAAGTGTTGTTCAGGTTTTGGCTGTAATTTTTGAGCTGATCAGTTCTTATCAGTTCATGTTTGGGCTGTAATTTTATAGCTGATCAGTTCTGAACTGTTGTGATCTGTTGTGAACTGTTCTGTTCAGTTCAGGTTAGGGCTGTATTGTTTGAGCTAATCAGTTCTGATTTGTTCAGATCAGTTTTGAACTGTTCTGATCAGTTCGGATCAGTTCTGATCAGTTCGGATCAATTCTGAACTGTTCTGATCAGTTATGAACTGTTCGGATCAGTTTTGATATATTCTGATCAGTTCAGTTCTGATCCGTTCTGATCAGTTATGAATTGTTCTGATCATGGGATGTTTTTGCTTAAAATTTTTTAGCTGATCATTTCAGAACTCTTCTGATCAGTTCATCTTTTTGTCGAAATTATTGAACTGATATGTTCTAATTAGTTCAGGTTTTGTCTGAAATTCTTGAACTGATCAGTTCATGTTTTGGCTGAAATTTGAGAGCTGATCAGTTCTGATCAGTTCAGTTTTTGGCAGGAATTTAGTTCTGATTAGTTCGGATCAATTCAGATCGGTTCTGATCAGTTCAGGTTTTGGCTGAAAATTTTGAGCCGATTAGATCTGATCAGTTCAGTGTTAAGGTTTTGCCAAATTATGTAATTTTCTTGGAATCTCATTATGTAACTCTCTTGCTGTATAATATATTTATTTAAGTTTTTTTTTTGTTAATAGTTGGAAAACATGGAAAGACTGCTGAAGGAAACGATTCAAGTGAAGGTATTGGTATGGATGCCCTGAACAAGGCTTTAGGAAAAAAGGATCACCACGGGCATGTAAAAGGACTGGGAAGGTGTGGGGTTGGAGTTAGTCACACACAAGTATTTTGGAAGGGACATAGAAAGGGTAAATCATCCGGCCAAGGTGGATGCTCATTGGAAGAGTTAGAATCAATGAAAGCTACCCTAACTTAAGAATTTGAGGCGAGGCTAGATGAAAAGGTTGAAAAGAAGATTGAAGAGAGGATTCAAGAGAGGTTGAATCAACGTATGGCAATGGAGGTGAAAGCTTATCTCGCCAATTTACTACCACATATGACCAGTGACGTGAAGGCATTTCAAGGAATGCAACTGAAGACGACCATGGAGGCAACACAAAGCACTCGTGTGATAGAGGTATATGTCTTATAAACTAATACTAAAGATGTGACTTAGCATGGTTAACATGTATAATATTGATCGAGTTTTTTGTATTATGTAGGTAGCCACTAAATGTCACCTTGCATTGAAAGATGAGTACAATCAAAATTTAGTGGTTGTCGCTGATGGAACGGTATATCCTGTTACCGGTGAAGTTACTCACAACCTGAAGATGTTACCCGATCATTATAGGGTTAGTGTGGACAACCCTTATCCCGATTGTGCCCTCCTCTATATATCAGTACCTTCTGCCGATGGTGTGACTAAGTTGGGTAAAGCCAAGTCAGCCTTTGAACTATGGCCTGTTGTCATGGTTTTTTTTTATGAAGAGGTATATTCTCCTACTATTGACATTAAATTTCATCATTTTTGTATAATTTATCTGGACTAATATTTGTCTTTTTATAAAGGTTTCACCATCGCCCAAAAAGAAACATAGATCTACCCATAGCAAAGAAGGGGACAATAGTTGTGGCGTTAAATCAAGGCAATCTACCATCAAACCCACAAAATTCTAACCACTTGAAGATAAAATTGTTGAGACTTTTGGCGAGGGGTGTTAGTTGTTGTATTGGTTAATGAGTTCTCATGATGCAAAGTATGATACAACATCGGTACTTTTAAAGGCCTCAATGTTTAATTTTGACAGCGACAAACAGATTTGGGTAACTGCTACCGATGTACGTGAATTATTTCTAAGACGAGCGTGGGCTAATGTTTCATTGATCCATGTTTATATCATGTAGGTTACTTAATAATCCTTTACTTTGGTTGTTTTATTTAATATAGTAATATACTTCTATATTGCTGATTTTTCTTTGTTCTATGACTTTATTATGTAGGTACTTAGTAGACAATGTCATCGACCATTTCAACAAAGTTGAGATCATATTCTTTTGTCCCCAACTCATTTCTGAATCTTCAATTGAGAATGATTACCTTGAAACTTACGTGTATGTGAAGAATGCATTTTTGCATGAATTAGATAAGGCGGGTAAACGTTGCAAATTCATAGTGGCTTCATATGTAGCAAGGTTTGAACTATGTTTATTATACTTCCACTAAACTTGTTTTTATAAATGATTTGTTTCCTAATAATCTAACTTATCTTTACCTTTTAAATGATGTAGTGGACATTGGGTTCTTGTGGTGGTAGATCTACAATTAGGTTTAGCGTATGAGTTTGACTCTATGAAGCAACCTACAGAAAATCCACGACCAATGAGAATTGCCGAAATCATGATGACGTGAGCCACTAACTTCAAATTGTGCCCAATTGAGTTTCTATTTTCATATTGTTTGTGGTGTTGTAGATTATTTTGTTCTAAGTGCCAAATTATATATCATTTTTGTAGGGCTTATAAAGTATATCGGGCAAATCTCAAAGGGAATGAATTGAAAGCACATAGGCAAAAATTGAAATTCATACAAATGGAGGTAAATACACAACTCACCCCGTTTTATCATACATTGTTAACTTTGAATATAAAATGTCCTAACTATTTGTTATATATGCTAGTGTGCTCAACAACAAGGAGGCATTGAGTGTGGCTACTACATTATGAGATATAAGTATGAGATTGTTACTTCTCACTTGGATTGCAAAGGTGTCTTAGAGGAGGTTAGTAGCTTTTTCATACATTGAGATGGTTTTCAAGATGATGTATTAACATGTATGCGATGTTATGTGTTTTATTCCTATATGCTCCCAAAAGTGGGTAGATGGTCCTATTTCATAGATTTCAAATCATAGAAACAAAAATATAAGTTAATTATAGATGTTGTGTGTTTTGTTTCTATAATTTAATCAAATACATGAAAGATGGGAAAGATAGAAGTCCCTTAGGCAATATTGAAGCCTTTTTTGCTTTATATGCTCCTAAAAGTGAGTAGATGGTCCTATTTCATTGATTTCAATTCATAGAAACCAAAATATAATTTAATTATGGATTTTATGTGTTTTATTTCTATAATTTGATCAAATACATGATAGATGGGAAAGATAGAAGCCCCTTAGGCAATATTGAAGCCTTTTTAGCTTTATATGCTCCCAAAGTGAGTAGATCGTCCTATTTCATTATTTTCAATTATAGAAACAAAAATATAAGTTAACTATGGATGTTATATGTTTTATTTCTACAATTTGATCAAATCCATGATAGATGGGAAAGATAGAAGCCCCTTAGACAATATTGAAGCCTTTTTGGCTTTATATGCTCCCAAAAGTGAGTAGATGGTCCTATTTCATTGATTTCATTTCATAGAAACCAAAATATAAGATAATAATGGATGTTGTGTGTTTTATTTCAATAATTTGATCAAATACATGAAAGATGGGAAAGATAGAAGCCCCTTAGGCAATATTAAAGCCTTTTTGGTTCTATATGCTCCCAAAAGTGTAAATGGTCCTATTACATTGATTTCAATTCATAGAAACCAACATATAAGTTACTTATGGAAGTTATGTGTTTTATTTCTATAATTTGGACCAATACATGAAAGATGGGAAAGATAGCAGCCCCATAGGCAATTTTGAAGCATTTTTGGATTTATATGCTCCCAAAAGTGAGTAGATGGTCCTATTTCATTGATTTCAATTCATAGAAACCAAAATATCAGATAATTATGGATGTTGTGTGTTTTATTTTTATCATTTGATCAAATACATGAAAGATGGGAAAGATAGAAGCCTCTTAGGCAATATTGGAGCCTTTTTGGCTTTATATGCTCCCAAAAGTGAGTAGATGGTCCTATTTCATTGATTTCAATTCATCGAAACCAAAATGTAAGATAATTATAGATGTTGTGTGTTTTATTTCTATAATTTGATCAAATACATGATAGATGGGAAAGATAGAAGCCCCTTAGGCAATATTTAAGCCTTTTTGGCTTTATATGTTCCCAAAAGTGAGTAGATGGTCCTATTTCATTGATTTCAATTCATAGAAACCAAAATATAAATTAATTATGGATATTATGTATTTTATTTCTATAATTTGATCAAATACGTGATAGATGGGAAAGATAGAAGCCCCTTAGGCAATATTGAAGCCTTTTTTGCTTTATAAGCTCCCAAAAGTGAGTAGATGGTCCTATTTCATTGATTTCATTTCATAGAAACCAAAATACAAGATAATTATGGATTTTGTGTGTTTTATTTCTATAATTTGATCAAATACATGATTGATGGGAAAGATAGAAGCCCCTAGGCAATATTGAAGCCTTTTTGGCTTTATATGCTCCCAAAAGTGAGTTGATGGTCCTATTTCATTGATTTTAATTCATAAAAAAACCAAAATATAAGTTAATTATTGATGTTATGTGTTTTATTTCTATAATTTGATCAAATGATGATAGATGGGAAAGATAGAAGCCCCTTAGGCAATATTCAAGCCTTTTTGGCTTTATATGCTCTCAAAAGTGAGTAGATGGTCCTATTTCATTGATTTCAATTCATAGAAACCAAAATATAAGTTAATTATGGATGTTATGTGTTTTATTTCTATAATTTGGACCAATACATGAAAGATGGGAAAGATAGAAGCCCCTTAGGAAATATTGAAGCCTTTTTGGCTTTATATGCTCCCAAAAGTGAGTAGATGGTCATATTTCATTGATTTCAATTCATAGAAACCAAAATATTAGTTAAGTATGGATGTTATGTGTTTTATTTCTATAATTTGGACCAATACATGAAAGATGGGAAAGATAGAAGCCCCTTAGGCAATTTTTAAGCCTTTTTGGCTTTATATGCTCCCAAAAGTGGGTAAATGGTCCTATTACATTGATTTCAATTCATAAAAACCAAAATATAAGTTAATTATGGATGTTATGTATTTTATTTCTATAATTTGGACCAATACATGAAACATGGGAAAGATAGAAGCCCCTTAGGCAATTTTGAAGCCTTTTTGGATTTATATGCTCCTAAAAGTGGGTAAATGGTCCTATTTCATTGATTTCAATTCATAGAAACCAAAATATAAGTTAATTATGGATGTTGTGTGTTTTATTTCTATAATTTGGACAATACATGAAAAATGGGAAAGATAGAAGTCCTTCAGGCAATTTTGAAGTCTTTTTGGCTTTATATGCTCCCAAAAGTGAGTAAATGATCCTATTTCATTGATTTCAATTCATAGACACCAAAATATAAGTTAATTATGTATGTTCTGTGTTTTATTTCTATATTTTGAGTCGTTTTTTTTAATAGGATTATTGTCTAAGGAAAGCACCGTATGATGTTGAAAAGTTGAATGTGGTTCGAGAACAATGGGCGCACTACTTTAGGACAAAGTATTTATTGAATGCATAACTATTTGTTAGGTAGAACATTAGTAATATTTTTAGTGTTGTTAGTTGTATGTGTTGGATAAATTTGTACAAGTTCTTATTTGTAATATTATATTAGAATTTTTATATTATGTCGTATTAATTTTTACAAAAGTCGGTATAATTGTTTATCTACAGGAACAGGTTTATTATAACAGGTTTTAATTAAAATATATTAATTATATATAAATACATGCTGCCGAAATTTAATAAATAAAAATAATTTAATGACTATTTGTAACGGGCATGGTATTTGTCAGTTACAAATAAGCACTTATTCGTAACGGGCGTTTTTGTTGCCCGTTACAAATAAGTACTTAATTATACACCATAAACCCTTATTTGCAATGGGAATATAAAGTGTCCGTTACGAATAATGGGTTATTCGTAACGGGCGTTTTTAGTGCCCGTTACGAATAAAGACTTATTTTAGTTCAAAAAAGGACTTATTCGTAACGGGCACCTGAAACGCCCATTACGAATAACCCATTATTCGTAACGGCCACTTTATCTGCCCGTTACGAATAACAACTTATTCGTAACGGACAACGCCCATTACGAATAATAATGGCCATCCGTAACGGCTGCATATGTAACGGACACTGCCCATTACGGATGGGCCCTTCTTGCCCGTGACGGATGGCGTTTTTTCCACTAGTGTTCATATCTCTCATTCATCTCATCATTTTCACTTTCATCCATTTTTTTTCTCCTCTTTCTTTTTTTTCTTCTTCTTTTTTTTCTTTTTTTTTTTTCATTCTTCTTGGTTTTCATGAGTTTCAACTTCCTTGCCAAACCTTTTTGCATACTCTTTTCATGAATAATCTTTCAAAACCTTATTTGAACCAAATTACACAACTTTCTTGCTCAAATTCAACATTATCAAACTTGAACCTCACAAGTCGATGCTTCACTAACTACAAGGGTTGGTAGAACATAGGTCGCTAGGTTTGTAATATGGCTATGTCAAGAAAGAGGAAATAAGGATTAAATTGGTTAGCAAGCGGGTGAATGTAAAATCAAAACCAAATTAATATCAAAACATAAAGAAAACAAAGAAAAATGAGAAGAAATGCCCTCTTCCTCCTCTAGAGTTATATGGTCACGATCTTGGGAGCTAGATACAAACACAAAGATTAAGACATTCATAGTTAAAGATCCAAAATGCCGCTCACAAGAATGATGA